GCGCCACCCCCCTCCTCTGCAAAGCTGTAAACAACCGGACCGGCGGCGTGGCGAGAAGTACGCTGCGATAAAAGTAGTTCCTCTTCCATCGCCCCTCCACGCCCCGCTCTTCTTCCAGGTCCGCGTCCGGAGAAAGCCCACTGGTCGCTTCGCCCTCGCTCAACGCAGCCACTTGTGGCGTAGGTCTCCGCGGGCTGGCCCCAGCCCCGAGTCCTGCTGGCGTTTCCTCGGAGGGAGCGCCAGTCGGGTCAGCGAGCGCACATCCGGAGAGATACGAGGCAGGCGGCGATCGCCGAAAGCCGTTAAAATGCAGCCCGCTTTCCGTCTGCTCTCAGATCGCCCCAGTGATTTCGGTGGGGCTGCTCGGAAGAAGGCGAAGCGATTTCAGATGCGCTGAGGATGACCATTTAGAGTCGGGGGATGCGGGGGGGGGTGTCTTACCAGATCTTACAAAAGTCTAAGCTTCACTCTTACTGTGTTTGGTCTCAAATGGCATTTTAAAAGGAAGCCTTCCCGGAGCTAAAACTTGGAATTCGACGAGTGGGCTGATGGGTGTGAGATTTGCCGTTAAGCGCCGTCTGCAGGGATTCACTCGGAGATAAATTCCAGCGTGTTTGATTCCGTGTTTAGTACGCATAACGTTAAACCCTACATCTCCCAGACTGGATCAGTGTTTGCTATCCAGGTTCGGTTTTCGGGAGAGTTGGAATTTCACTGTTATCGCGGAATAGTGGCGGGGGCGACACAACTTCCAAATAACCGAAGGGAGAGCGGCGTGGTTTGCGCCTCCAACGCCAAACTGAGTTAGGGGCGCCTGCGCGAAGGCTGGCGGCCGGAAAGGACGGCGTTTCTCTCGGGAAATCGGAGCGGAGGTCACCCTCCGTCCAGCGAGGGCTCCTGGGCGAAGGGACGGAGGTTCTCCAGCCTGGGAGATGCTCTTTTCAGCCACCCGCTTGCTGCCCTCCTCGGGCTCCGCAGCTGGCGGGGCTGCAGTTCCGCCTAAAGCCGGGCAAGACGGCGGGATTCTGGCTCGCGCGGCCGCCGGCGGGCCTCGATCCGTGCATTTTGGCTTACATTCTTCACTTTCTCTGACTACTTTGCAACCTGCCGCGGGAGTTACGTTCTCATTACGCCCCCCCCTCTCCTCCTCCTCCTCCCCCCCCGGTCTCTCCCCGCCCCCTGGGGAGACG